TGAATATAAATTGCAAATGAAAGAAATAATAAGAGAAAATGAAAATCTAAAGCAAGAAATGGCTACGATGAAACAAAAGATAGATAAAATAGAAATAACCTTGGAAGCACGTCAGAAAGAAAAGAAGAAAATAACCTAATAATAAGAGGCTTACCAATAGACACAATAGACGCAAAGCAACTAGAGAACTTTATAGAAACAAAAATAGGAGTAAAATCAGAAATAAATAGGGTACAAAAAATAAATTAAACAATGTGTGTTATCGAATGTACAAAATTCGAAGATAAAATGAAAATACTGAAAGCCAAGGGTAAACTAATGAACTATACGCAACATAAAGTATATATAGAATGTGATCTAACATTAAAACACTTAGAAATACAAAGAAACCTTAGGAAGATAGCAGAAGATGAAAAGACTAATGGTAAAAGGACAAAAATTGGATATGGTTTCATAGTTATTGAAGGCATTAAGTGGAAATGGAATCAAAAAACAAGCCGGATAGAAAAAGTAACATACAATACTGAACCAACTTGTTCAAAAAACTAGCTGAAGAAAATACAATGACGGATCGAGAAACAAAAACAGGCACAGAACATGGACATGAGCAGACTTAAAGATAACAACACAAACGGAAAGAAAAATAAATTGAAGTATAACTTAAACAGAGAAAAGAACAAAACAACTTTGAAAATGGCATCATGGAATGTAAGAGGTATAAATGGGAAGGAAATAGAACTGGGGGAAGAAATTAGAGATAACAACATTGAAATAGTATCTATAACCGAGACAAAGAAAAAGGAAGAGGATCAATAATATTAGAAAACGGAATGTTACTAATATTACAGTGGAGTGGAAGAAACGAAGAGAGCTCAGGCAGGAGTAGCGTGCATGATAAAGAAGGACAGTATCAACAAGTAAAAAATGGGATATATTACAACGAACGTATACTAAGAGTAGACATAGATATGGATACAGAGCAAACCAATACAAACCTAATAATATGCTATGGATCAGATGAAGACGCAACAAAAAACGAAAAGAATGAGTTCTGGGACAAATTACAAGAAGCGGTAAATTATTGTATAGAGAAAATTGTGATCACAGGAGATATGAACAGTAGAGTGGGAAAAGAAGCAGAAAAATGGAACAATGTCATCGGACCTTATGGGGAGGCAACAATAAACAAACATGGAAAATTACTACTCGAATTCTGTCTAGACAATAACCTGGTGATTATGAACATACACTTCCAACATAAAAGATACACAAGATCACAAGAGAAATCAAATCAAGAGACGAACAATCAATTATAGACTATACTATAGTCCAAAAAAGAGAGACGTAAAATATTACAATAAAGAGAGAACTGGATAAGAGACGTAAGGGTGAAAAGGAGTTATGAAATTGGTAGTGACCACTATCTACTAGAAACCACATTCAAATGCAAAAGAAAAGAAATAAAAAGAAATGAGAACATAAACAAAAAACACAAAGAAATAATAAAAATTTATAAACTAAGGGAAGAAACAACGAAGATAAGATACTCAGAAGGACTAGAGAAAGATTGACAATGAACATGAAATAACAGAAACAATAGAAAAATAATGGGGAAAATTTAAAAATGCGATGATAAAAACAGCTAAATCAATACGTGGAACTACAAGAAATAACAACAGAGGGAGACGTACATCTTAGTGGAACGATGAAGTGAAAAGAGAAATAAAAGAAAAGAAGAAGTTATGGAAAGAATACATGAAAGACAAAACACAACCAAAATATGAAAATTATAAGAGACAAAGAAAAAAAGTTACAGAGATAGTTAAGAAAGAGAAAAAGAAAAGTTGGGAAAAATTCGGAGATAAAATGGAAGAAAACAGCACAGAAAACGTAAAATTATTTTATAGAACACTGAAAACCCTAAGAAGCAACAAAGAAACGAAACTAAAACAAATAATGAACAAGGAAGGAACAATAATAAAAGACGATAAGACAATAATGGAAAGATGGAGAAAACACTTCCAGCTGATACTAAATGGAAATCAAGCGAATACAATGGAGAAGGAAGGCCACATCAAGAGAGTATCCAGGAGAAACATGGAAAATCCAGAAACTATAGGAAAAAAAGAACTGGAAGAAGCAATAAGAAAGATAAATATTGGAAAAGCTCCAGGAAGCGATGAAGTAGCACCAGAAAAGTAGCAGAGAATGGACAAATGCAGTAATTATACCTATATACAAGAAAGAAAACACAAGAGACTGTAAGAACTATAGAGGTATATCACTACTATGTGTAGCAGCAAAAGTATACGAAACCATAATAGAAAGGAAAATCAGAAAAGAAATAGAACATAAATTAGAGGACGTACAAAGTGGATTCAGGAAAGGACATAACACACAAGACCATACATTCACCATGCAACAAGTAATAGAAAAAGCCTTAAAGAAAAATAGAGAAATATATCTGAGCTTTATAGACATGGAAAAAGCATTCGACTCGGTCAAAAGGAAAGATATATGGGAAAACCTAAAGAAGAAGCAAGTAAGTGAAGAACCGATAGAAGCAACAAAGTACATAAAAACAACGAACACAGTAAGAATGTCAAATATGCAGTCAGAACCATTTGAAACAACTCAAGGAGTTAGACAAGGAGGAAGTCTCAGCCCAGTGCTATTCATAAATGTAATAGATGAGATAGTGAAAGAATGTAACAAAACGTTCAAGAAATACTGCATCGGTTGGAACAGAATGCAAATGATAAACGCTGAGGTGTGTATATTTGCAGACGACATAGTATTAATTGCGGAAACAGCAGAAAAACTGAAATACAACTTAGAGAAATTGAATCTAGAAGCAAGCAAATACAACTTATACGTAAACAAAGAGAAGACTCAGATAATGAAAATATCAAGGAAACAAGGGACGGAAGATCAAATAGAAGTAATGATAAACCAACAAAAAATAATACAGACAAATTATACAAATACTTAGGAACAGTAATCAACAACAAAGGAGACATCGAGAACGATCTTAACAACAGAATGGAAAACAGGAAAACTATCCAAGCACTAAATAGAAGATTCCTTAATAACAAAGAAATATCAACAAAGACCAAGATGACAATATACAAAACAATATATAGACCTACAGTGACATATGGAGCAGAAAATTGGATACTAAGCAAAAGTCATCAAAGCAGAATTCAGGCAGTAGAAATGAAATACCTCAGAAGAACGATCGGAGTAAAAAGAACTGATAGAATCAGAAATGAAGAAATAACGGAAAGACTAAAAATCAAACCGATTCTCGACTCAATCAAGGAGAAAAATTGGCATGGTTCGGACATCTAACCCGGATGGACAATAATAGACAAGTAAAAAGAGTGTGGGACGCCAAACCAATAGGGAAGAACAGAAGAGGAAGACCCAGACCCCAAGAGGAAGGATTGAACAGTGACATCTCGCAGATACTGCAGAGTAAGGGTAAGACTTGGCAGGAAGCAACACAGATGCCATACAATAGGAAGGAATGGAGAAAGTTTGTCAAGAGCTAGGTGACCTCAGAAGATTGTAAAATATTGTAATATAAAGAATTGTATTATAAACGGCCCAACACCGAAAGGTACAAAAAAGTACAAAGTAAGTAAAGAAATAGGTCGGTAACCAGTTATTTTATTCTTCATAATGTTACTACTTGGAAAACATAGGGCACTTTCGCCGTTTACATAAATACAGTCAAATCAACATATTTATATGAAAGGGATATCTTGCGCAATTTTCTACTCTATCTTCATTTTTTTGACATTTATTTACAAACTTTTTATTAAGGACATTGTTTATCTCTTAAGTTTCGGTTTCGTATAATAGATCTGTTTTTATACACGCCAAAATGTTGCATATGATAAGATCCCGTATAGTAGAATAACGTTATAAATATAATATGCATTAATTTGCGATACCCACCAAAAAAGGGGATAAGCCTCATTTTTGCCAATTTACTCTGTGAAAATATTCTGTGCTGTGCTGGGTTCCTTTTTTGCATAATGGTTTTTTTAGTGATAAGAAGTAGGTATGATGACTCTCACCCCCTATTATTTGGAGGAATATTAGATTGCAGATCTAAACTTAAACCTAGAAGACGAAACTATCCAAAGTTGCTAGACTTTCAAGCATTAACATTGATAGTACTTGGAGATAGTACATATATAGGACATTTAGAAACGAAAATAGCTTGGTGAATGAAAGCACTTCATGAGTTGACAACAACTCTTTCATCTAAGTAAACAAAAAAATAATCTTTAGAGTATCCTGGAACATATTAGATATCCTATACGGAGAGGAGCTATCATCACTAACAACAATATAAAAAAATAAAAACATCCAAATTAGATATAAGATGTATTTAAATTACCAGAAGGGACAAAATAAGGACTAAGTAAATATTGAACAGGATGAAAGAAGAATGGCGAATAACAAAAGAATTGTAAAAACAGTACAGTGGAGGATTAAAACAGCGAACTATTAATTGGAAAAAGTCGAAGAAGAAGAAAGATTCTATGAAAAATAAGTGTACAATTATCTTACTCAACTGGTATTTAATTAACTGGAAATACGGGAGATTCTTTCCAATACAGAAACTTCCAAGACAAACAAAAAAACTTTCGTTAATTTTATTTCACAAATCGAACTATTAGTTCAGGTATTATTACGTAAAATTCTTATTACGTAAATTCCTATTTTTGTTTCACTATATCTGTTTTTCACTATTCACTTTTGTTAAGTTTTGAAATTTAAAATTGCTTTATTTCAGAATAATATAATTTACTGTTTTCCTCTAAACACTTTAATTTATTTATCACAGCTGTATATCATACATACCTACACTGTCATAATAAATATAACAAAAAAAAATTAAAAATATTCATGGATTCAGAACTTTGTGTGATCTTTTTATTATTGATACATTAAATAATAGTCTCAATTGTTTATATTATTCTTAGGTTTGTTCCATGCAAACGCTTTTAATTCACTTGGAATAATGCTTAGTGGAGGTGTTGGAGATCAGATGGCTAATTGGATAGTCTCTGGCCGGCCCAATTTGCCTCTCTATGCTTACGACATCAGAAGATTCACGCCGGTACAAAGACAAGATCGTGCTTGGGTCTTGGAACGTACTCATGAAGGATACGCAAAAACATATAGTATAACTTATCCCCAAGACCAACCGTTCGCGGGAAGAAATCATAGGACTGACCAATTTCATGAGGTAAATTTATTTAGACAAGTTACTGTTTATTATTGAGTGTAAGTGCAGCTATTTGAATATACAAAAAATAAAAAAAAATCAATCAAGTAAATCCAAGAGAGTGAGCTTGTCCTTATAAAAGTAACCTTATAGTATATTTTTAACTTTTAATGAAAATAATATTAAATATATTAATTATTTTTATAGGCTCTTGTAGCAAGTGGGGCTGTCATGGAAGAAGCTTTAGGTTGGGAAAGACCGTCTTATTTTGTAAAAGATCGTACTGCTCCTGTTAAACCTTATGATTGGTATGGCTATTACGATCATGTCCTTAATACTGACACGCGCTATAAAAAAGAGTTGGAGAGTGAACTTACATATGGATTTTCTAGAAGCCACGATCTAGTAAGTTAGATATTTCAATGATCTTTTAATTATTGTTGCATCATTGTTAATCTTTTAATCGTTATAGGTTAAAGAAGAGGCTTTGGCTGCGAGAAATAACGTAGCTATGTTTGACCTCACTTGCTATGCTAAAATGTATCTAGCGGGACCAGACGCAGAGGAAGCAGCTGATTGGTTGTTTACTGCCAATGTAGATAGGGCACCAGGAAGTATTATTTATACATGTTCCTTAAATTCAAGAGGTTATGTTGAATCAGATGTGACTGTAATTCCACTTGAAGAAGGCGCTGGAACTTTAGTCGGCCCAATTTTGAAAGTAAGTTTTTTATTTGAACATAAATTTTAGCTTAAATCATCAAACAGATAAACTCCTCACATCGAAGTGTGTGTGCTATCTCGTTAAGTAATGAGTCAAACGGTCAGCGAAATGGTGATTGGATGTTATCGTGTAAAAAAACGCCAATACAAACGTATAGCTAAGGTAATGTGATTGAACCATGATGCAGAAAATGCTAAATGGAAGAAGAGACTGCCATATATATCCTATGCCATTGCAATTAGCCAAGCGATATGAGGCAGGAGTTTATTGGCTAACTGAGGATTGAACCAGGAGAGATCTTAAAACTACAAATATGGAAACTGTTGGCTTTCATTAAGACCATAGGACCTATCAAGTTTAATGTAAAAAAAGAAGGTATGGTACAGAGGTCTTACGACTAAGTGCCAGTAATTAACGAGTATCGATTGAACAAAGAAGAAAAAGAAAAGATAAGTAATGAGTCAATCCATCTTGGAGCATACGAGTGCTAATGCCTTTTATATATACATCTTATCTAAACATCTCCCAGATATTTTAGAAATTTGAAACATAAAAATTCTTTATAGTCGGTTATCTTTTTGCCTTTGAAGATGCACTAAATATTTTAATGTAAGGTTCTCTTGTTTCAGCATCTATTGCTGCTATATCGGACGTTTCCTAATAAAATTCTTTTTTCTGATTTTATCATTTTATTACTTTCTCATCTATTCCGTTTCTGCAATATTCATTCACCGTTCTATATTTTTGACTGTCTAATATTCAATGCTTTATATCGTTATGGTTTTATGTTAGTTTTATAAAATTATCGTTTTAGTTTTTGTATACCACTGCCCCATTCAATTTATTATATCTTGCTCTAACTATACTGCGTTCACAAAAATTATTGTTTTAGGGAAAAGGATATTATATTGTAGCAGGTGCGAAATCTGGATATCAAACTAAAGCTCATTTTAGAAAGCAACTCTATAAGAAGAACTTTAAGAGTCTGGTAACTGAAATGACAAATAGGATAGGAATTCTCTCTATACAAGGACCAAAAAGGTAACAAATTTATTTTTTTAAATTTATAACTTCTAAAAAAAAGTATTGTTTTTTTAGTGGCGAATTACTTCAATCGATAACTGAATTCCCTATAACTAACGAAAAGCTTCCATATGGAATGTCTAAAATTTTTAAAATCAATGGACATACCTGTAGAGTCCTAAGGATAAGTTATATTGGAGAATTAGGTTACGAAATCCACATTCCACTTGCTTCCTGTATCCCTGTATATAATAAAATTATGGAAGCGGGAAGGGGATTTGATTTAAAGCATGCCGGATTTAAAGCATTGGAATCGTTAAGTTTAGAAAAAGGTGAGCCGTTATCCTGATTTAATCTTCTTCTTATGGTATCATCTTTAGTACATATTGGCAACAATATCAACAAAGCCATGTCTATCTCGTGAAGCACAAAACAGTGAACGTAAATTAAAACGAGTCCAATCTCTTTTATTTTTCAACCACGAATGTTTGCGACTTTCTAGTCTCATCTTGCTTTTTATTTTCCGTTCGATAATTAATTTTATAAGGTTTGCTATATTGTTTCTTATAACGTGGTCAATATATATAAAGTTGCCTCTTTTTATCTTAGAGATTAGCTCTCTTTCTCTTTAGTTTTTAACCCACACATTTAAAAGGCTTCTAAGCATCTTTGAACTAGGTTTCACAATCATATAATAAAACTAGATAAACATAGCAATGAACGAAAAGTTAGCGTAAACTGATATTAAGTTATTACGTTAAATTAACTTTAACAATAAAACAAATATTATTGTGAAATATGGGTATTGAAAATCCTAATTGTATTATTGGTAAAGTTATTTTATTTATGTCCCATGGGTATATTTCACAATTAGAAATTTTGTTAGTCAATATAATTTGTTGTACTTATCATTTGTGTGGAGCCCTGTGATAATATTGCTTTTTCATTGCTCCATCTAAGTACAACTAAAGTAACGTAGGCAGTTTGTCTCCTTGTAGTACACTTAGTTCTTTGTTGGTATTTCCCCCCTCTTATGATGTTGGCTATATCGTTTTCCAGTGTCATCCTTATTAGTCTTAATTATTGTTCTTTGTATATTAATTTCTTTCATTGCCAATAAAGTTAATGTGTATTTATTAATTCAAAGACTGAAAATCTTTTAATAGTAAGTGCAGGTCTGTATCATACGCGTAGCACTTTTTCAGCCATTGTATTAATAAATATATGCTGTCTATGGTCCACTTCCATTTTATAAGCTTCTCAAAATATTCGACACTATTTTGTATGTGGTAGTATTTAGTAAGATTATCCTTCTGTAATTATTGGTGTTTGTTAACATCCTTTTTCATAAATAGTGCTTTTGCTTCAATACAACGGTATGTTCTTTTTCTCACAAATATTTTTAAGATGATCCATAGCATCAATCCTGTTTCGTTCAAAATTGACTCATTATTGATTTTATCTGTATCTATTATTCACCTGATTTTATTTAGTTTAGCAGTTTCAATACTTTAGTAAATGCCTTATATGTAGGAATGTCTTGGTCCTCTCCTTTGGCTTGCTTTATTTTCAGATCCTTTTCCTATTTTATCCATTCCTACTACATTTCTTTAATTATCATTTACTCATCCTTAGGTTTAAATTTTTGTACTATCAGCCGTATCCCATTCATGTATGTTTTCACATGTTTACTTCGAGATTTTTATAAATCCTTGTCACTTGAGTTTTCTACCTAAATGTTAATGTAATTAATTATAGATTGACGTTCCTATTATTGATTTTTGTATGGTTCCCATTATTGATTTTGTACGGATATTGAATCACGGGCAAAACCCTGTAACATTTTGTCCGTGATTCTCTTTTCCTGCATAGTAAAGTATGATTTTCTGTTATATTTTAATCTTGTGTTTTTAGCTTATTTAGTCTCCCCACTTTTTTGTTTCTATTTTCCGTAAATTATTAATTTCCACGTTACATTTATTTTGTTTCTTGTGTTTATTCTCTAGTCCATATCTTTCTAGTTATTTTATTGTTTTACAGCAGTTTTTTAAACTTCCAATTTTATACTTACCTTTTTCACTTCTCCTCTTGACAATTTATTATTATGACTAGTTTATTTTTTTGTACAGTAATGAGATTTGATTCTTGGCGATATTCAGTTGATACATTTTAGGCTACCATCTTCTTAACCACGATCTAAGGCTAGACGATAATCCAATAGAAGCTGGTTTGGGAGCTTTTTGCAGAAAAGATGGACAATACTTAGGAAAGCAGGCGGTAGAAAAATTCAAACAAGGTGTTACAAAGCGAAGAGTATTCTTTACGTTACAAGAACCAGTAGCTATTTATGGCAATGAAACTATTTGGAGGGATGACGTCATCGTAGGAATATTAAGGAGAGGAGATTATGGATTCAGCCTCGACAGCACGATTGGTACAGGGTAAGTTATTTATATTCACATCATATTTTAGTTTTATATCTAAAATATAATTGCTTACTCCATAGGTTAAAATAATTTCAAACGAAATCGCGAGGATACCTCTTTTAGGTACATTCAAAAACAAGTCGAATGATGAAGATGTTCTTTAGGATAGGCAATGTTCTAACCATGGTAACAATCATAGAAGTAGTACTGCAAAAAATAACCTAATTTTTTAACGAATATTCTTATAAATTAGCAAGATTAGTTGATGACCGGTGGACAAAAAGAATTTTGGAATGGAGACCCCGAATACAAGCTTAGAGAAATAGAGGTCGACCCCCAACGAGATGGACAGATGGCATAAAAAGAGTGACTACAAATTGGATTCAGATGGCGCAAAATCGGACTAAGTGGAAAAACATGCGAGAGGCCTATGTTCAGCAGTGGACGTTAGAGGCTAGTTGATGATGATGATGATGATTCTTATAAATAGGCAGACGTAATATATTAAACAGTAATATACAGAATAACGTTGCGGAGAAAGTGAAGAGGCGAATATTTATTACCAATAAATGTTACCATGGCTTAATTAGGCAACTAAGATCGGATAACGTCGCAAGAAAAACAAAATGCCAAATATACAAAACCTTAATAAGACCGGTAGTCACATGAGGCTTAGAAACCTGGACACTCACTAAAAGAGAGGAAACGTTGTTAGCCACCTTCGAAAGAAAAATCTTGCGACACATATACAGGGTGGTCCTTATTTGCTCTTTAAGTTAGCCCTATGTGTATTAAAAAATATTAAAAACACATTATTTTTACAAAGAAAAGGTATACTTGTTAATAACTTCAAAATTCAACCGTTTTCGAGATAATCGTATTTTATAAGTCAGCTACATAATAATTCTTAGTTGTGATAATTTTGCGACAAAACACTGAATACCTGCGAATAAGCATAATTATTAGTTTGTTCTTATTTAAACAACTCAAATATGATAATGTAATATCCCGACATACTTTGTTATGGTTGCTTAATGTCTTATTGGAGAGAAGCTTCTATCTTCTTCTTTGAGTGCCGTGTTTGTATTCAGAAGTTGGCCGTCATCATGTTTACAATTTCCTTTATACCTATATCGCTTTTATAACTTTCTATACTGGCGTTGTATTACTTTGTTTTTATTGTAAAATCCTAAGGCGAGTCGAGTGTCACGGAAGAAGCGCTACGAGACGGCGTCACGTTTACCGTTAGTTGTCAAAAAATTCCTTTCAAACTACAATCAAATTGTATTTTTAAATATCTTATTTATTTTATATAATAATTAAATTTACTATCAAATTATTGATGGAATATCAAAATTTTATTTCAATAATAACTTAATATATTAAGTCTCACTTTGACGGGTCTGTATTTTGTTAATACGTTAGCAGGTGGCGCCACTAGAAAACATAATTTATTGAATTATTTTAATATAATATAATTTGTTCAAAATATAAATAATAAATAAATAATAAAGTTACTTTATTAAATGTTAAAAATATTATTTAAAAAATATAGAAAACATGATATGAAGCTAAGTGCTAGTCTACAGTGTCAGTTATTGTACCTACCACGTTTTTTTTAAGGCAGTTTTGATGCCAGTAGACAATCCCAATGCATTACGGGAAAGTTTAATATAGTAGGCTGATGTCACGAATGCATTTGACAACTAAAAATAAGTCTTGTTTTGTTTAATCAGTGATTTTTGTAATATCTAGTCTATTTTGGTTTCTTAAAGAAAAGCAGAAAATGCCAAGGCATAATAATTTTTCTAATATGGAGATGAGAGATGTGGTTGCTATTTATTGTCAGTAACACTTTAACGGGCTAGCAGCGAAAAGGCAGTATTTAAGAAGATACCTAAATAGGCTGAAACCCAATCACCAAACATTTAAACATCTATTTCGAAATTTAGGCGAAAGTGGTTTATTTCATAGATTAGAGGAGAGAGTTTATTTCGTCCTAAACGTGATAACTTAGGTCGACTAAAAATCATTACGCATCCATAAATGTATTGTATTAAATGGTAGGCATATCGAACACTTACTTTAACAAAGAGTTTAATCTTAATTAGTTTAAGTATTTCTTAATTTGGTTTGAAAAATAAAATGTTTATGACTTTAATATAAAACGTAAAATGTTTGATGTCAAATCCAATTATCCTATTATTTTGTCAAATCATATTATTAATTATTCTGATGATATATTTATTTTATTTAATATTTTGTTAGTTATTAACTTTGTTATAGGTATTTTATACCAGAATTCAGAAGTACTAATGTTTTTCTCTATTTTTCATTCGTTGCTTGGAGTAATTGCGTTAAATCAGAATTATGCAGTTGATTTGTAAAATGCGATTATCTCGAAAACTGTTGAGTTTTAAAGTTATTAACAGGTATACCTTTTTATGTTAAAATAATGTATCTTTAATATTTTTTACCAAAAATATCGATAAATTAAAGAGCAAAAAAGTTAGGTGCAAATTTATGAGACATATATGTGGCATATGTGGCGCCCTCTATCAGCTACATCAAAGTATGCATTAAATGATAATTTCTTATATTTAGTAGTACCCAGAGTATAGAAGATCTACAAACTTTACTAGATGCAATAAATAGTGAATGCATTCAAATGGGACTTGACATCAACACAGATAAGACCAAATTTATGATAGTATCAAGGAGTCCAATAAATAATGAACAACTAACTCTTGGTGGACAGCAAATAGAGAGAGTGACAAAATATAAATATCTGGGAGCTTACATCAACACAGAATTAGATCCAGACCAAGAGATCCAGATACGAATAGAAATGGCAAGGGCAGCATTCTTAAAATTCAAACAATTGTTCTGTGACAAAAATCTGAATATTGCGCTGAGACTGAGGTTTGTTGAATGTTACGTCTGGTCGCAATTATTGTACGGGGTAGAAACATGGACACTAAAAGCGCAAATAGTTAAAAAGATTGAAGCCTTTGAACTTTGGATATACCGGAGAATGTTGAGAATCCCATGGACTGCCAGGGTCACCAATGAGGAAGTGCTGAGAAGAATGGGTCGAGTCAAAAAATTGTTGAGAACGATAAAAGTACGCAAGACTGCATACCTTGGACACATACTAAGAAATAATAAATATAGTCTTCTGCAGGTCATCATGCAGGGTAGAGTCGATGGCAAAAAGGGAATAGGTAGAAAAAGGAAGTCATGGCTGCGAAATATTCGAGACTGGACAAACATGACTATAGACGAATTATTCCACGTTGCAAAAGACAGAGAAGCTTTTAAAAATGTGGTCGCCAACCTCCATTAATGGGGACGGCATAGGAAGAAGAAGAAGTAGTACCCAGTTGTAAATTTTTATACATAAATGTTAACAAACATGAAAGTTGTAGCGAAAAATAAAATTTTAAATTTTCCCTTTAACACCCTATATCTTTCTTAATATCAACATTTTACCTAAGCAAGTTAACTTAAATCGTAATGTTTTAAAGTGCGGAATCTACGGTTTCTTTTTGTACAATTACTTAAGGACCACCCTGTATAAGGGCACAAAAGAAAACGGAATATGGCGAAGAAGATACAACTTTGAACCATACAAAAGAATGGAAGAAAGCGAAATACCAAACAAAATATTTAAACATATGCCAGTAGGAAAAAGAACATGAGGAAGACCGAAGCTGAGATACTTAGAACAAATGGAAAATGATATAATAACCTTAAAAATAAAAAAACTGGAGAAAAAAAGCGCGAAACAGATCAGAATCGAGAAGAATCCTGGAACAGACCAAGACCCAAAAAGGGTTGTCGAGCCAGTGATGATGATGAATATACAGGATGGTCATTAAGTAATTGTACAAAAAGAAGCAGTCAGTTAAAAGCAGTTAAAATATTACAATTTGGCCAACTTCTTCTTCTTCGTTCTCTTTATAAGCAATTCTGCTTGTTCATTGGCAGATTGATACCTCTATGGAAGGTTGTTACCCCGTCTTTTGCGCGGTCGTCCGATACTTCTTCTGCTGATTGGTGACTTATCTCTTGCTATTTTGACGACACTGGTATCCTTCATTCTGCTTATGTGGTTATTCCATTCTTATTTCCTATTTTGTGTCCATTCATTTATACACTGTACGTTACATTTCCTTCTAATGTCTCCACTTCTCTTTCGATCTTCAAGCGTATTTACTGTAATTCTTATCAGTACTCTGATCTCTGCCGTTTCCGGTTGCCTTGCGTTGTGGCTGCATTGGGTCCTGTATCTGAGGCATATATCATTATTGGTCTTACACTGGCTTTATAAATTCTTGACTTCATCTCAGTGTTAATGTGTCTCTTTCGCCATATAGTATTATTAAGGTATCCATACAGTCTATTTGCTTTTTGTACTTGATCTCTCACTTCTTTGTCAGGCTCCATAGCTAGACAGTGTAACTTTGATACTGATGCCATCAATTTCTATTTTACATCTAGTTGGTACTTTGCTGACTACTATTGTTTTAGTTTTCTGAGATAAGATTGTCATATTAAATTATTTTGCTTTTGTAGTATAAACTTAGTATGGGTCTAATTATTGTTTGATAGACTCGGAGTTTTGTTGTACGGTGTATACCTCGCGATTTGATTATGTGGAATATGTGGCCCATGGCGAAATCGGCTTTATTGAATACATACATGTGCTTCTGTTTATATCATTTGCACTAGTTCCTATTGTAGGATTTAGAAATAAAAATATACCAAGATTAAAAAGTTATTAGAAGTTAAGAGACACATCGTGTACAATTAACTACCTAAGCATATAGAAATTAAAATTTCATAATAATCCGAGAATACAATATTACCCTTATAATTTAACCAAAATGTAACTATTTTTCTACAACATCGACGACAAGACAACTATCAAATTGGTTGCCATAAACACAGATAAGAGTGTGCTATGGCCATAAAGCGCTAATTGATAAACATTTAAAGATCGACATAATTACTTCTTAATTTATATTTTTTTTCGAAATCGTCAACAAAAATTTAAAATGTATTTCTCATTATAATCCATCTTCATTAACTTAATCCCATATAAATACAATACATAATGTATACATTTTATGCAAAAAATTCTAACATTTTTACTCGTACTTTTTATTATGTAACTCAAAAATATATAAGCGCACATACCTTACAAGACAAAAGTATATAACTAAACACTATTTCAAGTAAGATAAAAAAATTAAAGAGTCATTACAGCACATCATTTGATGGCTCCAATAAACCTTAATTCTTATGTTCGAATGTTCTGGGTAGCTCTTAAATATAAAAAGTTACCTAAGTTTCAGCACAATAACCAAATAATAAGAGTTTTGCAGTATATTATTATCAAATATCATACAAGATGGCACTCCTGAGCCAATATTTCAGCAACATTGGTTTTTAACTGGTTCTGTGCTGAAAACTACCCTTACTTGCTTCTTCTAATTTATTGAATTTTTTAGTTTCTGCCAGTCCTATTTGTTCAGTTCATTTGCAGTATTATGATTGCCTTTATAAAATAAAAGTATTTTGACAGTTTGACATATTTTTATATATAAATTTTGTGAATCTTTTTTAAGGTATGTTGAACATCCAAAGGGAAAAGTAATTGACAATGAATTCCTTAAGAACGGTACCTATCACATTGAAGTCAGGAATAAAAAGTATCCTGCTTCACTATATTTGAGAAGCCCATTTGATCCAAAGAATTTAAGATTAAAGGGCATATATGACAACCAATTGGAGGAGCAAAGCCATTTTGAAGACTGAAAACTGAATTAAGTTTAAGTGTATTACCACTCCTAATTAGATATTAATGTATATTTTAATAATATTTATAAAATTTCATTTTAAAAAATGTTGTGTATTATCATAAAGTTTTAATAAAGTTTGTTGTTGTAATATTTAATTTAGATTCAAATATTGCTTGGAAATGAGAAAATATTGTTGTAAGTCAGATATACCGCCATGTGCGGTACAAAAATTGAGATCTCTCTCCACCCGCAAAATATTCAATGAACTCATTTTATCGACGCAGAGATGACCTTAGAGAAGTTACGGACTTTCCGTCGTTGTCAGCTGATTCGATAGAAGGTCGTTCTCATTATATAAATCAGCAGATGAGGGCTCAAGATTATTATTGGCGATTCTAAGCACAACCTTGTTTTATTCAAGGTACTACTAGCACGTCCGCAACGAAACAGAAAACCCCCAATGCTCATCGAAAAACACAATATAGAGTCGCTAGCAACAGAGAGTACAAAACTTCTTTATGAGAACAGGACTACCAGCAAACAAAAAGAGATCGAATTACAACCAGAATGGGAAGTAGAAGATACCAAGTAGCAGAAGAAGCATTTAAAAAGCGGAAAATTAACACGAGGGCGATAAACCACACCAAACCGTGGTTTTATCACGAGGTAAAAGAACTCTGAATTAAAACGCGAATGCTACCTGAGATATAAAAGCACACAATTCGAAGAAGCTCTTGCAGAATATGTTCAAATAACAAACTAACTTAACGCAAGAATAAAATTAATCAAAAGAGAACATTGGGCTAAATTCACCAGAGATATGGACTACGATCTACATGGTGCCCAAAAGAAAGTATGGAACATGCTTCGAAACAGGAAAAAACCAGTTAACTAGTTGGTGCAAACCAAGGATGTACCAATAGAGACATGGCAACAGCATTTTAAAGAGCTATATGATGCTGAAGAAACGCTGAATATAAACGAATACGAAGCAGATATAAGTGCTACAATCAATGACGAAGAGGTAGAAGCAAAGATCAAGAAGCTAAAAAATAGAAAATCACCTGGAACAGATGGTATACCCAATGAACTCTTAAAATATTTAGGCCCTGAACTTACAAGTAAACTGTCACAACTATTTAACAAAATTTTAAACTACACAGAAACACCAGGGGAATGGCATAAGAGCATCACAATCCCCATATTAAAAAAAGGACAAAAAATTTGCTTACAAAACTACAGAGGAATAACTCTCTTTAATACAACGATGAAACTTTTCACGAGTATACTTAAGGACAAATTGGAAAGGCAAATCACGAATGCTGAAGAACAAGGTTTTACAAGAGGACAGTCTATAACAGATCCAGTATTCATAATAAAACAAATAAAAGAAAAAGCTATAGGCTTTTGACAGGGTTTGCCTGGGGACATTCTAAATATATTAATAGAGAATAAAACACCGACCAACATAACAAAGATAGCCCATAACCTAAATAACAACAATGTAACCAAATTAGAGTAGGAGACCAATTCACTTAAAATATTCCAACACCGGGAGGAATTAAACAAGGCGACAAGTCCCTTCTTGTTTAACCTACTCATGGGCAAAATTATAAACAAAGTAACGTCTCTCAATCTCGATTACAGAATGGGCGATAAAAGAATTGGTATGATGTGTTACGCAGATGATGCAGCTATTATTGCCGAATCAGAAGATAATTTTCAGACACAGCTCTTTCAGTTCTTTTAAATAAGCCGCCAAATAAATATGACCATTTTAACCAACACAACTAAATGTATGACAATAGCAAAAAAATCCACTCAGATGTAAGTTAGTGGTTGAGAACAACCCATAGACTAGGTGATGTAATTCAGATATCTGGGTATAGATATATCAAGCACACAGAGCCAGTAAAGGACCTAAGGAGTCAGGTCAACAAAGCATCTGCATTGTCAGGTTGTCTGCGGGAGATAATCTAGGGCCAAATCTTTATATACGCACAGATAGTAAAATTAGAATCTACAAGACTTGCATACGATCGATCATGACATATGACATCGAAGTGCGCGAAGATACCAACAAAACGAAACAGATGCTAAGGGTTGCTGAAATGAAAACCCTAAGAACAATTGTGGGCAAAAAAAGAAGAGACTTGGTGAGAAATATAAACGTTAGAGAGCAGTGCAAAATTCAAGATATTGTAAGATGGGGAAGGCAGCATAAGAAGATGTGGTACAATCATGTAAGACAAATGGATGAGAATAGACTCCCAAAAATTGTCCTAGAAAACAACCCGCCCGGTTCAAGACCTCCCGGAAGACCACCTAAAAGATGGAGGGATAGTTAATCTACCTCCCAGGAAATTAACCAGAGGCAGCTTCAGAATTAAACAGATCAAAAGATCTCCAAGAAGTAGAAAAAGAAGAAGATTCTACGCATTAATGCGAATACTTCTTAGACATAGTAATTATTGTAATTAGTAATTGTGATATTTGTATATAAGTTTTTGAGTTAAATGAAGTTAATTAAACCACGTCGTGATGCACTTAACCTCTGAATACACAGAATAACGCAACAACTGGTGTCAGAGGTAGGATAAGTGAAAATAATGTATTTTTGAGAATTTTTATGGTCAATTCAAGAAGCTAGACCAAGATGGGGGAAATTTAAAATATGATTCGCACAATGGAACAACGTTGAAGAGAACTGAAAAAAAAAACTAACGAAAAACGACAAGAAAAAGAAAAAAGAAAGACGTCGATAAGCAGCTGAAGAAAGACATTGTCAGAAAGAAACAGAGTTGCCTATCAGTCTTATCAAAATATAGATACCTTAAAAGTGAATAATGAAAGATTCATAAGATATGAAAAGAGCAATCGAAGAGACAAAAGAAGGCATAATTAAAGAAATTAAAGTAACAAGAGGTCTAGCAAAAGACACTTTTCACCTAGAAATTTAAAAGGCCAAGCAACTAAAAGTTGACCGGTTTCTTACTCGTTAAAAAATTAGTTTCATCTTTCCCTTTATTTTTTTGAAAAGATTATTCTTTTTCCTAAACTCTTTTTTAACAAAATTGTTCGAGATTTCCTAGGTTTCATGAGTCTATATGCTCATTTTTCCTTATAGTAGATTCCTCACACTTGGCCTTGTACCAACCTATTTTTTTCTGAACCTCTTCACTTTATAGTACCTATCTGATTTGCTGCACAAACGTTCAAGAGCAGACTGACAGAGCCAGGACACACAATAATAAACAGTCAGAATGCTACTCTCCATAGACAACTAGGTACGCGCATCTCGTTCGCACAGACGTTCCGCCATGTTTTAAAGGGAACCAGTGTTGTTCAGTGAAAATTTATGTGGTCTGCATTGAAAAATTAACCCGGTTTAATTGACTTACGGCAATCATAGACATACTATGCAATTATTTTAACATCGTTAAATATAATTCCATAAATATAATATAATTAAACATAAATATAAACAATGACGTATAATATATAGATTGAGAAGTCCCGTATTCTCGCTATATAATCCGATGTCCGAAAGATCTCCGCTAAAGGTTGAAGGTATGTTATTACCAGAACAGCGGCGTGCTTATTTATATTTTAATGACAATAATTATTTTTTTAATTAAAATTAAATATTTATGATTTTTTTTGTTCCCGTCTATAAGAGAAAAAATTATTTTTATAAAATAGTATGGCATTTTACTAAAATAGTAAATAAATAACTCTCAACAATTTAAAATAAAATTTGCTTGTCACATAAAATATGTAAACACACAAAATGGCGAAAATGTTTTCAAACACATGATCAACTTCGTGATGCTTCGTAAGAAATCATGAACTTCGTGCATCTTCGTATCAAAACAATAAACAATAATAAAGGTATTCATGATGTGGACACTTTTTACAGCGTTCACCGAGTCTATATATTATACGTCATTGAATATAAACAATTACATAACCTCACAAATCATATGTCAATAAAGACCCATTACTCTTTCCTTGTCTAAGATTACACCAAATGTGATTCTCAATCCGAGTGCGTTTTGTGTTTCTTTCTAAAACATGGCGATCTCGTGCTGAAAAACTTCAAAGGCGGCATCTGAGAGTGGGCATTCTGATTGTTTATTATTCTGTGTCCAGGTTATTGTGAATTTTTGAATATTATGACTTTAATAGTTGCTTGATGTTCTGTTTTTACCGCATTTTTTAAAATTATTGATTATAATTTGTTAATTTATATATTAATTGGTTTATATTAATTTTTCTAAATATTTGACCACTCACAATTGGACATATCGTTATTTTTAGCTACTTAATGTTAACAATAAAATTGTTAACATGATTATAATTGTTAATTTATATATTCATTGTTTTATATTAATTTTTCTAAATATTTGACCACTCACAATTGGACATATCGTTATTTTTAGCCACATAATGTTAACATTAAAATGTATTTAATAAACAAATATAAGTATGTCATATGTCATTGGGGTTTCCATTAAATTTGTTCAAGCTACACTTTTGCTACTAAAAAATAGGATTTGTCATTATATTGTGACATTTTTTGTCAACAAATCATCTAAAAAAGCTTTGAAGTCATATTAACTATTTAAGTAAATTTTGGTTTTAAAGCTCAATTGTTTAACGTTATGGAAGAGAATAAATGGAATGCAGATATATACACACCAAATGTAAGTAATTTTTGCATTTTCCAGATTTTGGAGGTCTATTGCCTAAATCAACCACAGTTATTAATCTTTTAGTATATATTCAGAAGGTAAAATATAATTTAGAACTGCTTACCTAATCTTTGTTTTATCCTACTATATAATATGTTCCTAATTACCATATTTTAGTTTGTTTATTTTAAGGAATGTTCTGACGGCACTTGGATGAAAAGTGAGTAATCCATAATTCAGTTTTCTATTGCTTTTTCTTTTATTTGTAATTTTTGTGCTTATTTTTTTCGTTTTCCTTACTGTTAAGTGGATTAAGTATTTACTTACGAACATTTTTTTTGAGAAATAACCTGGGATCGAGGTTATACCCTCGATCCCAGGTTCGAACCCGATTCCCTGAAACCCGATTCATAAATCCATGTAGTGTAGATTCGAGTTATGGAGGTGACTTCCACTAAGTTTAAATCAAATATAAATAAAAAGATGAAACATATAAAAAAGTATACAATTCAAAAGCCAATAAATTACATCGTCAAAACTTGAGACGTCTCGTCTAATTATCTTATCTTTCTACACGTATGGGGCTAAAATACTAGCTATCATTTTGTTTTATAGCCCTTTTTCTATCCGAATTGTCGAATAAAGGCCTCTCCCATTTCTTGTCATTCATCCCTGTTGTGTGCTAGGCGTTTCCACATTGGTCCTGCGACTCTTTTGATATCGTCGCTCCAGCGCATTTGAGGTCTTCCTCTTGGTCTCTTCGCATCGTACGGTCGCTAGTTTCCGACTTCTTTGTTCCATCTACCATCTTCGAGACGTTCGTTGTGTCCAGCACATTTCCATTTTAATTTAGCTGCTTGTTTCGCGGCGTCCTTCATTTTTGTTTTGTTCCTGATTGCTTTGTTCGTTTGCCTATCTATTAGTGAGATACCAAGCATCTCTCGTTCCATGGCTCGCTGAGTTTTTCGAATCTTGTCCATGTTCTTTTTTGTGAATGTCCAGGTTTAAGCTCCGTAAGTGAGAACGGAAAGAATACAAGAATCGAACACTTTGGTTCGAAAGTTTTGGGGTATCTTTTTGTCTTTCAGTATGTATGAGAGTTTTCCAAATGCGGCCCATCCCATTCTTACTCGTCTGCTTATTTCGGTAGTTTGGTTTCCTTTGTTTACCTTGATATTCTGACCCAGATATATGTATTCTTCTACATGTTCCACTTTTGTTCCTTGGATGGTTATCGTCGGTCGATCATCTTTATTCGACATTAGCTTAGTTTTACTCAGATTCATTTTCAGTCCTTTTTTTATAGATTCCGTATGAAGCTCATCGATCATCGTCTTCAGTTCTTTCCAGCTGTCGGCTATTAGTACTACGTCATCTGCATATCTTAGATGGTTTAAATACTTTCCGTTTATCGATAGTCCCTTCGCTTCCCAATTTAGTGATTTAAAGATGTCTTCAAGTGCGGCAGTAAATAATTTTGGAGATATGGTGTCTCCCTGTCTTACTCCTCGGTTGATTTTTATTGGCCTCGTTTTCATTCCGTTATCCATCGTGACTACCATTTCAGCGTGTTGATATATATTATGTATTAATATCCTATATCTAGAATCTATTCTGCTGTTGACCAATGCTTTCTCAATAGCCCATAATTCTATGCAGTCAAAAGCTTTCTCGTAGTCTATAAATGCTAAACAGATTGGTAAATTGTATTCGTTAATCTTTTTTTATTAGGACCTTTAGTGTGTGAAGATGGTCACATGTACTGAACCCTTTTCAAAATCCGGCTTCCTCTACTGGTTGATATACATCGAACTTTGGTGTCAATCTATTTGTAATTATTTTTGTGATTGTTTTATAAAGTTGTGATAGTAGTGACTATTGGACGATAATTTTTCAGATTTGTATTGTCCCCTTTTTTGTGTATTAATATTGTGTTAGCAGTATTCCATTCTTTTGGTATGTGTCCTTCAAATATGCATTTATTAAAAAGTATTTTTAGGTACCTGATGACTTCTTTTCCGCCTTCTTTCAACATTTCTGCCAGAATTCCATCACTACCCGGAGCTTTATTTCTTTTCATTTCTTTAATTGCATTTTCTATTTCTACTTCGCTTATCATACCTTGCTATCATATCAGAGGTAAAATAATGAAAAGCACGCGTATATATATATATATATATATATATATATATATATATATATATATATATATAAATATATATATACATATAATATAAAATTAATGTTTCTTGGGTTTAGGTTCAATAAGGATATATTACATGTGGAACTAGATTTTATTTTCCATAGCAATCAATCAACGTTTCTCCATAGCAGTCAACGTATATGACTTACCAAAACGTAAAACGTGACACAGATATTAACGAACTGACAAATAAAAGTTGATATCTGATATCTCATTGTTTACTGTCATTAGTATATAATTATTTTTATATGGCGCATCATTTTCCAAACTTAATGAGGTTGTATCATAAATGATTTTATAAAATGTTGATAAAATTTATCACAGTCTGCCATATCTGTTGAGTCTAAAACCTATTCCTATATTTAAAATTTTAAAAATTACTTTACACTCACACACACTTAATTATTATACACAAATTTATGACATTGATATTATTAATTTTATTGTATCGTCATTAGTTTTTGTCACGACAATCCAGTGGTTTTTATTGTTGGCTTTTTCGGAAGTCTTCGTGCGCAAGTTTAAAAACATTCGCCTTGACAAGTGAAAATCCCACATCCCTAATACCAAGCAACTGCTAGTACAACAAATTATAGGCCTATTATTAGGTATATCGTTCAAATATAAATTATTTTATATTTGTGAATATCAACCTGTCAACCTGTCAATGTTTCAAAACAAAGCCTATTGTCAAGTGTGTACCAACGCAACTCTACCCGAATTTGCGTATAAAATACACGGTTCGTATATTACAAAAATTAAACTTCAAAATTATTGAAAATCTATATTTGCCAGTTTCCAACAAAACATATCGCGTGCTTTAGAAAATATTGTAGCAAAATTGTCACTTATAAAGATCAATCCATACAAACACAAAATTAAAATATTATTCTACGGATTTAACGACTGTTCAGCGCCAAGAGTCTTAAAAAACTGAAAAAACCTCATCAATTTTTATTACACCACTCTCGCGTTAAAATAAACAAAATAGATTGATGTGATGGCGATAAAATATAAAAATTATTGCCGACAAGTGGAAAGATTGCTATGATTTAAAAAGGTTTTATAGTTAAAGCTTTCGACGAATATCAATAAGAGATTTTGTAACTTCATCGTTCAAAGCGGTATACAAACAAAATAATTATCAAATGGCTGTGACATCCTCCCACGTGAGGCATTTTACAAAAGTAAACATGGCTCACAATATTAATATTGGCACAAAAGTAAACAAAACTACAGCAAATAACATAAAACCATAGCAGACAAAATTCGAAATATAATTAAGCAAAAAATAAATCTACTCGTTAGCGTATCGCACAGGAGTTTTGACGCTGCGCCCACTTCGCGTAACATTTTTTTTCGTTTTGGGTACTCTACTTTCAGACACTCCCGTTTCCGCGTCGTTTTCGGAGGCACTCACTTTCGCACCTTCACATAAATTTAAACGAGATCCTCTGTCTTCGGTCTCTCCCGTGTTGTCAGTTCGGTCATTGTCTAGCGTCTGAGAAAAATCTGCTGAGCACTCCATTAGGTAGATATGCTGAATTGGTCTTAAAAATTGACCCCTTTCTGTAGAAATCCTAACACCTAACTTAACAAGCCGAATTGGACCATCCCTACCGGGAATAGTATCAGTTACACGACCAAGAGGCCAATTAACACGCTTGTCCTGGTCGTTTCCCACGAATACTACATCTCCTACTTTGACTTGGTGTTTAAAATTCTTTTTCGACCATAATTTTAACTGACCTAGATATTCATTCCGAAATCTTTGTCGAAGATCTTCTAACAATCTTTGCCTGTGCAGAATTTTTCTGGATAGAGACCTACCATCAACTGCATCACAATCGGGGACGCCGTCTTCTATCTGATCTCTAAGGAATATCTGTGGTGTTAAAGGTACCATCTCCGTGGTATCTGATGTGGGACAGGTAAGTGGTCGAGAATTTATGACGGATTCACAATCACATAAGAGAGTCAATAGTCTTTCATAATCCAGTGAAGTACGTCCCAATACTTTACGCAACAGTTGCTTCAACATGCCCACGAGAATTTCCCAAAAACCACTACGCAGCTGTCCGAGGGTTAAACCGCCACTGGATCGGCTCATTAATACTGTTCTCAGCTATTTTTTGAAAGTCTACTCGAAAAACGCGTTCTCAGTTCCGACAAAGTTAGTTCCATTATCACTGTATATAGTCTTCGGACGACCACGTCTGGCAATAAAACGTCGTAGAACCTGCATGAAGCAGGCGACTGACAACGAGGTGCAAAGTTCGACATGTACAGCACGATATACGGCACAAGTAAAAAGACATATCCATGCTTTTCCTCCGGTGGCTAGGTAAAGCGGTCCCGCAAAATCTACGCCCGTCGTTTCGAATGCTACCGCATCCCGGACGCGATCTACTGGTAACGGCGGCGTACTTGCCCCGAATGGCTTCGCATTATGTCTTTTGCAGACGACAAACTTAATGATATCTGATTTTATCGCCGGTCGACCACCTAAAATCCAATATCGTTCGCGCACAATACTCGTGAGTCCTTGAGTTTCAATATGACACGACTTAACATGTTCCCGGAATAACAACCTATTTACTAAAAAATGTTTTGCCGGTAAAACTATAGGAAACCGAAAATACTCTAGGTCATTTCTATTACTAATACGCGACTGTAAGCGAATTAGTCCATGCTCATCCTTAAAAGCGTTCATTCCCGATAATCTATTGTCTTTTTCGTTCGTAAATGACTCTTGCTGTATCACTCTAAGCACAAATACTTCGGCTTCGTCAACTTCCTATAAGGTTAA